AAAAAAAAAAAAAAAAAAAAAGCAAAAGGCCAGTTCCCTTTTCACTTTTCACAGAGATACTTGATGAAGGTAGTTCCACGTGAGATACAGAGAGAAGGAAGCATGAAGATCTTACATCCTACCCCTCTTTTTTAAAAAGAGACAGGCCACGTGAGATTGTGGTTAAGAGCCCACATTCTGGAATTAGACGGTCAGGATTCAAATCCTGGCTCCACCACTTTCTATTCTGTGAAGCTGACCAAGTAGACTATCTTTTATATCTTGGTGTTCTCATCCATATAATAGGATAATAATGACATGGATTTCATTGGTTTGGAGATGATTAAATTAAATAATGTGACTACACTTGGGGGGAATGGGAGCATTCAGAAAGAACTTGTCACTTAGTAAACACTTGATAAATATTAGTTTCTTTTTAATAGATTAGGATGTTAAGGCCAGAATAAGGGAGATTATTTGATTTACCCAGCATGACAGCACAAGCAGTGCTAAAAGTCCTAGTCTTCCTACTCCACACCCGGTGCTCACTTCCCTGTGCATCCTTCTTATAAATGTTTTGGCCTAGTAAATATTTTGATCTAGAACACTTAGCTGCAAACATTGCTTAGCATTAATGCAACAACTTAAGCAAGTGCAAGTGCTTTTATCAAGAATGACAAAAGTCTATCCGAATCTTTGTACCCTCTGACCAACAAGTCCCCAACCCCCCAACACACACATTCACACACACACAGGTATGGATGCAACATGCATTGTATTTTCTAATTAAAGGCACTGCTGTAATATTTGCCCACATTTTCATGGCCATATTATAGTGACTCTGCTGTTCCCATTAGTTGTTACTTTTACTACACTATGAGAAGAGTGATTAGCTCTGTCCCTACTTACAAAATGGAAACTGGGGAACAGAGTTGATCACAGAAACCAGTCTCCCTCTTAACCTATAGTTGTGTGAAACTACACAAAGATACAGCTAGGTATCAACTTCTTCCAGAAATGTGAACATTTAGAATCTTATTTGTTCAGTTCATAAGACTTTAAAGAGATCCATTTTTCATGCCACAAAAGACCAAAATGAAGCCAAACAAGTATTCTAGAATCAATTTGAGACAGAGAGTAATTCCATTATCATCAATCAGGGTAGCATGCCCTTATTTAATAATAATTTTTTAAATCTTAGGCCATCTTATACACTAAAGAAATTCAGACAAGCTATATTTTTAAATCTTGGGATGGAAATAAAAGGGACTGTAAGCTTCCCTAACCTCAATAGCTTAAAAGAGGATATTTAAAACTTTTATTTGACAAATGCTCAAAGATGTGTGATCCAGAGTACTCATTATAGTGTTTTTTGTAATGTATAATGTATGAAGTAGATAAAAACTTAAATACTCAATAAGGGGAGGATAGGTTAAATAAATTATGACATATTCCCATAATGGAATACTATACAATCATCAACATTGATTATTAGGCATTAATTTATTGTCATGTAAAGACATTTATATTAATGAGAAAATCAGCTATAAATAGTAATTTGTTATGATCCCAACTAAATAAAAATCTGTGGTGAAAATCACACTTTACATGTACTGTATAGTTATACATAAAGAAGAAAGGTTGGAAGGACACACATCAAAATAATGTTTATTTCTAGATAGTAGAATTATGGAGGTTCTTTTGTTTGTATTTTCCAAATGTTTTACATTAATATGTTTCACTTGCTCAAAAACATAATAAGGTATGGAGTGCATTAGAAAGTGTTTCATCCAAAATGGTTAATATTAAGAAACTGTTATAAGTTACGTGGTATGTTAGCTTCTGCAACATACTTCATACTTGGTGATGCTAGATAAGTGAGACATTGCTTTATTTTCTTTCTATCCTTGGTAAATTGAGTTACCAAGTAAAATCAGAGGCAGAACTAAAATCAAAACACGAAGGTCCAAGATTTCAATTCTTACTACTAAAGTTTATTTATTTATTCAATAAATATTTTTTATGTAGCTAAAATTTAAGAAACATAAAGATAAATCACACACGGATCCTATTCTCAGAGACTACAATTATTAAGACAATATAGAATTTACTTAAATTTTGAAAAGATAGTGCTACAAGAGAGGCATGTATGAAGGAGAGGTTTCTTTTTACTCAGGGAATTAGGAAAGTATTATTGAACAATAAAAAGAACACAGTTGAGATTCAATGTTGAAAAGTTAAATTTGTATAGTTATATGCATTACCTTAGAAAAACAAACTCTTGTACTAAGTGAAAATAGAAAGCTGTAAAACAATATGTATGTTTAATATATATATTCTACACACACACATGCACACATATACACCAACATGCATGTGCATGCCAAAATGGTAACAATGTTGATCTCTAAATAAGGTAATTACAGGTTGTTTTTATCATCTTACTATTTATCATGCCCAATTTTACCACAATGAACCTGAACAGTATATTACAAATCAGTAAAGGGTGGGGGGGAAGGCTGGCCAGTTAGTTCAATTGGTTAGAGCACAGTGTTAATAACACCAAGGTCCAGGGTTTAAATCCTGTACTGGCCAGCCACGAAAATAAAAATAAATAAATAAATATTTTAAAAATGGGGATCATTTGCTCATGGTGACCAAATAAAAGCTTGCACCATGCCATGATTCATGCTGGACTACAAAGGAGCTAATGCTGGCATGTGATAGATTAAGACCAGGATATAGGACTTGTCCACTTTTTTTCTGATAGCCCTGGCTCTGATTTTTTTCCAACTGACAACACTGAATGAGTGGTACAAAAGTATTGGTCTCTACCTTGGTATAATATTCAGAGAACTGAGGAGATTCCTGAAGACTCAGAAAAGGATTGTAACCAGAACTCTTGAGCATGTTTCTAATTATACAATCATTAATAACCAATATGGTTTCACAAAGAACTTGTCCTATGTTGGTAATACATAGTCAACTTCTTACATAGCAGAGTGGTAGGTCTGGTAGGTCACAGAAAATTAATTGATAAAACCTAGCTTGACTTTAGGAAGGCTTTTGATCCTATAAGACATGCTGAGAAAATATAACCAAGAGCAGACAACTGTTCACTAGCTAACTACATCCTGGCTGGAAGCTCTAACTAAAGCATTCAAATTTAGGAGATCACAAATGGAGTTCTGTGATATCAAACAGAGGTGCCAAAAAAAAGGTGTTCAGAAGGTAAAATAACAATTTAAGATGAAATTGTACAAATGTCAAGAAACAAAACTCAGGGCTTGCCGGTTAGCTCAGTTGTTAGAGTATGGAGTTATAACACCAAAGTCAAGGGTTCAGATCCCTGTACCAACTAGGTGCCAAAAACAAACAAAAAAATTGCAGATTTAAACTTAGTATAAAAACTGTGCTTTAAGTATACCTTGATTGTAGGAGATAAAGAATTAGAAATTATTTGGATAGAAATCTGACTAGCAATAGGAATTGCAGTAGCAGTTTAAAATGCTATTCTGATAATGGATACAAAATTAAGATTATAACATACAAATGCACTTTGTACATACCCATAGCAGCACTTGTCACGTTGTATTGCCATTATTGGTTGGCAAGTCTCTCTCTCCCTCAAGTTTTTTTCATCTTGCCATGTTCCCAATACCTAGGAGAGTGTAGCAGAGAGGTGGTTCTCAATATATCTTTAAGCATAAATGAGAGCATTTCCCATCTTCCTCAGATATCCCACTAACGTGCTAAGCTCCCCTCAGAGCTCTATATTCAAAGATAGATATGAATAACTTGCTGAGCATTCAGGGAAGAGCCTAGAAAAGCTGGGGAGTTGAAAAATGAGAATTGGATTATTCTGCTTATAGAAGAGAAAGCTGGGGGTAAGTTAGTTACAATGTTCTCTCTGAAGAGATCTTTTTTTTTTTTTTTCCTTTTTGTCTTTTTTACTGACCAGTAATGGGATCGCAACCCTCGGTGTCACGCCCGTACCGGGGATCAGCAATGGGATCGCAACCCTCGGTGTTGCGCCCGCACCGCACTCAGCCACTGAGCGGGAACCCGTCTCCACATGGGATCCGAACCCTCGGCAGGAGGGCCGCCACACTCCCAAGTGGCACACTCTCCAGTGCGCCACCGGGCTGGCCCACTCTCTGAAGAGATCTTACCCAAAAGATGTAACTTTCTCTATCAGAAATGTCCAAAAATGTCTGAATTAGAAACCCAGATTAGGGCAATGGACTATTAAATATTATATGCATAACAATAGCCAAAAAAAATCCCAACTAAAATATATTTTACTAAATGCTTTCACAAAAGAGCTAGCTCCTCAATCCCAATGATGAAGGTTCTCATATGAGCCTTTGTAAATTAAGGAGCTGGCCTCTCAAGCAAGCTCTTCTATAGCCAAGACTCCACGATTTCATGCTACATATGAGTGAGCGGCCATCATCAGAAGCTTTTACACAATTTAAGCTGAAAATGCAAAATTCAATTTTATTTTCATGATAGTTATGTTCAAGGCATCATAGAAGTCTGTATCAATAGAATATAAAATAAACTGTGGATGTATAAGAAGTAGATTTCTAGAAAATCCCATATTTATTTCTTAATGTTTATTTGCATCAATTTCTATCATTAAAAAATTAGCTGATGATTTCTTAATTTAAAACGCTCTAAATTAAACCAGATATTAAATCTAATATCATTCTTTCAATTCCAAAATGCATTCAGTATACACAGCAAATATGGTTGTACTAAGAAATAGTGAGAAAAAAACCCAGCTCATTGATTCTTCTGATCTATTTATCATATATTATATTGTTCCATTCATTGACCATTATTTTTATTTGCCTTATATAACTGGTCTAGTAACCCATTTGTCACCATAAAGAGCCTCTGAGTTTCTATTCCTTTCCAAAAAGAAGTGAAAGGGTCCCCAAAATTTATTGATTTAGCACCAAATTTAAATAAACCCGGAAACTCTCCCACTTTTCACATTGAATAGAACAAGGCCAGGCTGGGCATCTTCCAAATGTAAAGGCTTAATTGAACTAATTCTTTCATGATAATAATGCATATTTAAGATAGCCACTAAAAATTGTCAATGCTAATTTAGTAGATCAATTCCATTAAATGCTTTGAACTTTTCACCATTTGCTAATCTCATCTATTACAGCTGCTGTTTTTGTTCAAAATCTGAAACTATAACTTAATATCAAATTACAATAACTCTAGCCAGACCTAAAAAATACTTCGCTATATGTGAAATATAACCTTAAAGACTCATAAGTTGTGTTAAATTGTAACATTCTAGCTATAAAGTTTCCTGCAGCCAAAAGGCAGAGAGATCTCATCAGTCTATTAGCAATTACGGTAAGAAGCTTGCAGGGGTTATTTATCTATCTATCTATCTATCTATCTATCTATCTATTTATTTATTTATTTATCTTAGAAGTACATGTTTTCGTGTGTCTGCAGTAAAGCTTTAATATTTGTGATTATTGATAATACATCTACCTTTACTTCAGATTTTAATATCAAACACAATGTAATTTAGGTAATAGTTCAACTCAGATCAATAAAAACGTCAAGATTTGGCTCAACATTTAGGTTAGCAATGAAAAGCGATATATCTCATTAGTGTAAAAATAATACATTTATTAATTAGTTAGCGAAGAATTTTGAGAGACTCCAAACCACTACTGACTATCCACCATGTCTGATTTGCTTGGAACTAGACTTCTGAGGCTATTTTTATTCCCTGTGATTTACCACCAGTATCCTCTGGGTGATAGTGGAGGAAACAGATGCTGGGAATCTCTCTGGGCTCAGTTCCTGAGAGGTGAATTCTGACTCACAGCAGCGCCAGCTCCCGGCTTTGTACTCGCGCTTGCGGAGGGTGGTGGCGCACAACGCAAACGAAGGCCTGATTTCCAGTCTCTCATTGCCAGTTTCCTCCAAGTTTCCACTTACGCACATGCCTCCCTTACCAACCTCGTTTGAAGTTCTCACTCCAAAATCCTGAACGGCATGTTCCCAGGATACGTTTAATTCTTTTTAAAAGAATCTCATTCGGTGGGGATTTTCCAACTGAAGTTTTTTTAAAAATTGAAAACTGGGGAGGGTGCACTCTTTTTTTTTTAGAGTTTTTCTTTTTTTTCCCACTGTCAATTAATGGTACTGATATCTGCACAAGGAAGATGTAAATATTTTTTTAAAAAATGTAAAATGTTCCCCTCTGAGCTCTAAGCACATTTTCTTACAGAGAACTATAAACTTTCCTAAAGTTTCCTGTACTCTATTTATTGTGAATGGATTTACACCTAGGATAGATCTGCATTCACTTGGAAATTATGTTTAAATTGTTAATTTAAAAATTAACATTTATTAAGTGTCCACGGGTATAAAGTTTCATTCTTTCTTAGTGCATCCAGGCTGACAGAAATACAAGAGGAAAAAAAAAATCTATCAATTTTAAATACCTTTTATAATGGACTTAAAACTGAAGCCACATTATAGATTGAGAATTCAGTTTCACAAGGCAGCAGTTTCTATTAAAACTATTATTTTACGGAGAAATTAAATTCACTAACCAGTCTATGTTTTTACAAAGCTTTTTTATTTTTATTTTTATTTTTTTAATTATTTTTTTTTTTTTTTAGAGGCTAGCTGGTCGGGGAATCAGAACCCTTGACCTTGGTGTTACAAGGCTGTGCTCTAACCAACAAAGCTTTTTTTTTTAAACCTACTTTTACTTTTCTCTATGCAAAACAATAGGACTTACATAGGTGATTTTTAAATTTTAATTTTTGCAAAACAATGGGATTTCCTTATCAAGTGCTACCGAACTACCTAAATATTTGCTTATTAATCCTGTTATTTAGTGTGGTTAACAATAGCCTAGAATAATTGATTTGGCCCAGAGTAATTGATTAGGAAAACTTAGCAATTGTTCCTGCATTTCAGATAAAATGAGATTAAATTGATGAATTAGGTTTCACAGCATAACTGCAACACCTTCTGATGGTACATCTATGTGAAACTGAGGCAACTAGTCAATCTACTAATTTAATGGAAATCTGTCAGGGGAAGGGGGTGAGAAAAGGTGTTGGTTTGTTAACATGTACATCAAGCAACCTGCTAAAGACTAAATATTGCTTTTCATCACAAAGACACCTAACTACCTGCAAATTGACCACCATCTTGTTCTCTGTGAAAGATTGGTAGATTGGGCCTCCTCACTACCACGAAATAAATATTTCTTACCAGCCATAAAGAGAAAATATATTGCACAAAATTAATAACATTCTAATGGAAAATGAGATACTTTGAATGAGGAAGACTTCTTCGATTAAAAAATTTGGTGACATGCCCACAATGAGCAAAGAACCTTAAAATGCAAGAGATTCTCCAGTGGAAAATGGCCTAATCTTTATAAACTGCTATACAACAAGCCAAAAGTCAACAACAAAAAAAATCGACATTTGAAAAATCCATTCCCCAGTAATATTTGCACAGGTATTAAAAGAAAACCACACACAGAGAAAAAAAGGAAAATGTAAGTGATGCTGATCTACTTTTGTAGCTGCTCTATATGTGAACAGAAACACCAAGAAATCAATTGATAAAGTCAGACATTTAAGCAAGGAAAGTCAAACTTGCTGTGTAACCTAAACAAACTATTTGGCCACCCAGGCAAAGAGGTAAAGTCACCACTTAGATACAAATGAAAACAGAGAGGGTTAGTAATATGCTTGTGGCAACACACATTAGAGAATGGGAAAAATTTATTAAATGAATAGTTTAACTCCGGTATATGAATCACAAAGCTAAAATCCCTCCAGTATACACAAATATAATTGTCTAACTTCAAAGTTTCAGGCAGCACCTACAAGGATAAGACATACTTTCATTTTAATGTTTCCCTGATGCCATGTTTCCCTGATCCCATCAATGGCCTAATAAGTATAATATTGAAGGTCAGTTCTATAGCACCTCAAGAGTTAAATTTTTTGTCGTGAATAATTTTGAAAAAGTAAGAATCAGGCTTAGGCTAGTGCAGCAAAAGGAACCGTTCCATAATGAGGTTGGCCTGGACCAGTCCCAGTAGAATTAATTTTGTGCCATAGAACACCTAGATAAATTAGTTTTGCTTTAAATATTGAGTCCTAAAAGAGTTAAAAGGAAGAGAATATCAATCAATAATTTTTAGATTAACTACTTTGTATATGACAAAACAAAATTAACTTTGCCATTATAACCCCTTCCTCTGGCATTTCTGATAAATCCCAAGTTTAAAATAAATAGAGATTAAAACACCAACCAAAATACAGATAAATAAATAAAACACCAACCAAACATGTGCATTTGTACATTGGTACATTTGTACATTGTACATTTGTATTTGTACGTTGGTACAGAATACTAACTCACTCCCTCGTTTGCAAAACATAAAAGATTACTCATACATTTTGCAAAATTACAAATATTTTTATTATTTTTATTTGTTAAAACAATCACATCTGAGAATTAAGCATTCAGAAAATATCTAGAGAGATTTCTGAAGGGTTTTTTTAAATAGAAATACTGAAGGAGTTAAGCTTTAAAATTAAGTGTGAAATAACATCTC